GATGTTTTCAGACCTCTGTGTCAGATGGCCAAAACCAATTCTGCTGTTCCAGGTACAAAGGTGGAGTCTTAGCTGCCAACTACCACCAAGCACATCAGTCAACACAAGCTGACCTCCAGAAAAGAAATAGCTCTAAATTAGGAAACTTCGGGTGCTAGGCCAGACATGCTGCTTAAACAGAGGCGTATCTCAAGCCCACCAACCCTCTAAAAATGGCATTTTACATACTTTGGCTACATGTCAAATATATATGAATGAGGTCTTTATAAATTCTCACTAGACGTCCCATCAGATCTTCATCCACAAAAGAAATGCTGTATTAACAAGTCTCCACAAATGCTTACCAGCAGTTTCTGAGGCCATTCGAGGAATAGAAAGGGGAACAACCGCAGTCATCCTCTGCACTTCCATAATGGTTGCCTCTGTGAAAGGCATTTGAGCCTTGTGGGTAAGAGAGGGAACTTTGTCACGTCCTAGAACTGCTTCAATTTCTGCCTGAACCTTCTCTATTCAACAGGAGTGAGAAAAATAAAAGATAAAAAAAGATGCACAATATGTGAGAAGACATCATCTCAATTTCATTTGCCTATGCTTTATTGTTTATATAGATTTGTCGAGATGACAAAATGTGATCCCTCACTGAAACAGCTACCAACATAAGCCTTGAATGGACTCACTCGAGAACAAAACAACCAAGCGCAATCTCAATAGCTGTCAAGAGTAAAGCTACTGAGATGACAGACATACTTCTGTATTGGAAAAGTACAGGGAAAGTTTTGTTCCTGTACCAACTGTATTCATAATCTTAGTTTAAGAGTTTAACGATAGAGTAATTTGAATGGTTAAAACATCAAGCTTCTGGCCTGCATTAAAAAAATTAACAAAAAGAGACCGTATGCAGTGCGTGCCTGAGCTGGCCTCTGTCCCTGGGGAGATCCAGTTCTCAGAACCGGGGAAGGTGGTGAAGAGTTGGGAAAGCTTTTCATGCAGCTGCTTTAGATATTTCATTCTGGAGCAGGGATTCTGGTGCTGTTACTGCAAGCATTGAAGCCATTTAACTTGTTCTTGCTGTTTCCTGTTTTCTATTCATAGAACCTAAACAGCTATTTCCCAGTTCCCCCAAAAGGCAGCAGCAGATGCTTCTTCCCTCACACAGCCCTTCTGCAAAGGAAAACCAGAAGTTAACGAGCTCATCTCCCCTCTCATTTTTGTGAGGCACAGAGTGTCAAAATATTTGTTTGCCCCTTTCATCTCACTAAAGGCTCAGCATACAAGTAATTCTCTTTATAGAAGTTTCCAAGATGCAAGATTTGCTTCACCCGTTGTCATGGTTTAACCCCAGCCAGCAACTAAGCACCACACAGCTCCTTGCTCATTCTCCCCCGGTGGGATGGGGGAGAGAATCGGAAAGGCAAAAGTGAGAAAAATCGTGGTTTGAGATAAAGACAGTTTAATAGGTAAAGCAAAAGCCGTGTGCACAAGCAAAGCAAAACAAGGAATTCATTCACTGCTTCCCACCAGCAGGCAGGTGCTCAGCCATCTCCAGGAAAGCAGGGCTCCATCACACGTAACGGGTACTTGGGAAGACAAACGCCGTCACTCTGAATGTACCCCCCTTCCTTCTTCTTCCCCCAGCTGTACATGCTGAGCATGACGTCATACGGTGTGGGATACCCCTTTGGTCAGTCAGGGCCAGCTGTCCTGGTTGTGCCCCCTCCCAACTTCTCGTGCCCCCCCCAACCCCACTCACTGGTGGGGTGGGGAGAGCAGCAGAAAAGGCCTTGATGCTGTGCAAGCCCTGCTCAGCAATAACGAAAACATCCCTGTGTTACCAGCACTGTTTCCAGCACAAATCCAAAACCTAGCCCAGTGCTAGCTACGGTGGAGAAAATTAACTCCATCCCAGCCAAAACCAGCACTCCCATGTGCAGGATGACGCACCTTTTCTTCCAGGTAACTTGGAATCTGGCTATACAGCAAAAGACAATCTTGAAAGAGAAGACCCCAAATTTAACGCTTAATCAAAAATAATAAATTGTCAGTTTTCATTTTTTACCCTTGATATCCTGAATATTTTGTGGTTGTCCTGCTTGCCTTTTCCAAGATTCAGAACCCAGGCTGCTGATACTCTGAGTTTTTGCTCTTTTCTCTCCTACACACTGGTTCAAGATTAAATAAAAGCTCAATGCAAAAAAGTTTCTGTTTTCAGAGAAGCATTCAGAAATACCGTACAAAGTGTTCAACAAACAGTTGCTGCCACCTACTGGGTTTGCTAGGAAAACAAGTTCTCATATGAGGAACACAGTAAAAAAAATACCTCGACAGCAAGAGATTTGCTAATGGTGTGGCTCTCGAGTACCTTATTTGTGAGGTTTTGCTACTTTTTTAAATGCCACATTATAGCTCTGCATTCAGGTATGCACGTCCACAGTAATTTAAACTAACAAAGTTTTCAATATTAAAAAAAAAAATTAAAACTAAGGAGACTGTCTCATGCCAAATGTCACACCAGCATTTTATCCTGAATGTTTTTCTTTGGAGTTTGTAAAGATATGTGGGACTATACAGAAAGCAGCCAAACTGCTGCTCACATTACTGACTGCAAAAATGTAGACTTCCAAGAGTTCTCTGCTAACTGCATGTTATTTGAACTGCTCTGCTATGTTTCATATATTTAAAAATCTCACAGATCTTCAGAAGTCAAGGACCAAAATTAAGTCAGGGAACAGACCAAACCAAATACTCCCCCACTGCCTCCCTATATGCACATACATGCACACCCGCACACACCCATCCTTCTCTTTTTCCATGTGAAAAGCAAAACTGGCTTCTACAGACAAATACATTCTTCCTGATTTTTTCCCCGATAGCCCTTCATTTGCCTTTCCACATCTGCAACATTTGCTACTGCTAGAAGTTATGCAATTCAGGTATTTCTTTTAGGGGATAAGAGAAACATATTTTCAGGGGGCAAAAAAAAAAGAAAAAAAGCCCATATATGAGTCCCAGGCAATCGGGATACATAAGGAATGGGATACTAGAAGTAAGAGAATCACATTATGTAGCTAAGTGATACACTCTGGAATACTGAGTTTATTTATGCTGTTTGACAACAGCTACAGCATAAGGAACAGGGAAATCAGAGAGAGGCAATAAAACTTAGATATCAGCAGAAGAGAGAAAACTCACTAGCACATGTACAGTACCAGGCAAAGGGTTAAAAAAAAAAAACCCCAAAACTCTTCTGGACCTCATTTGAGTGATTTAGAACACATCTCATGTAACTGCATATCAAGACAAGCAGTGACAACGCATGACCATTACAAACAGAAGAATAAGCCTATGCAGTAAAATTTTATTTTATATTTGTCTCCAGTGGACTCTCTCTCCCCTATACTGAACTGATGCCCTATTTTGCAATTTTTGCGCAACAATTTGGTTGACTTTGTGTGATCAACTATTATCTTGATCTGTTTAAAGAGATTATTCCAGACAGATAGGTGCTGTAAACAAGTATCTATTTGCTTTTTTGCAAAGCATCTGCAGCACATCAAACCCTCAAAATCTCAAATACTTATCAAGTATTACAGGTTTATATTGTTCTTCGATAACTTGAGGTTTCCAGTCTGCAAATACCCAACAACCTTTCTAGTGGAAATCAGTTGCTATGTAAGACTTTAGGAGAAGCTGCTAATAAATTAATAAATCAATTGCTTTATTTTTCTTAAATTCCACCACCTAAATTTGCTGAATAGTACTAAAGAAAACACTGGCTTTGCAACCACGTGTACTGTAACAAGACTCAGTATAGAAAAATATTTAATTAAAATTAATTTTAAGTCTTTGGCAATGGAAATGCATCCTAAGAAGTCCTGAAATACAACTCTAGCAAGTACTACTTTAATACTGTAACCTCTCCAACACCACTGGTATTTTTTATGTCCATAAAAATCTACAAGTCATCTTCTAGAATTCTGTCACAGACAGTAAGCAGATCATAGCACCATCAAATAATCTGGGTTGCAAGGAACCTCCCTGGAGGTCACCTGATCTAAACCCTTACTCAAAGCAAAGTCATCTTCTAAGTTAGATCCAACTCTGAGGGTAAATCAGACTACACAGGCTCACACCCCACTGAGTTTTGAATACTTCTAAAGTCAGAGATTCTGTAAACTCTTGGGGCAACCTGTTGTACTCCTTGCTATCTTCATAGGGCAGTATTTTTTCCTAGTATCTGATCAGAATTTTCTTCTATCACTGCTGCTGCTTTTCCCTCCACTACACGCCTCAGAGCAGGCTGCCTCCATCTTCTTAGCATCTTCTGATCAGGTAGTTGTAGACAGCATAAGGTCTCCCCTCAGTCATCTTTCACTAACACTGAACAAGCCCAGTTCCTTCTGCCTGTCCTTTGGTGCCATGTGCTCCATGTGTCTTCTTCCCCTCTGTTGTCTGCAACCTACCCAACTGCCATGACCGTTCAAGATCAATGGGGAGAAGCCTTGCAATGACATGACCAGCTGGCTCCATGGACTTAGTGTAAGTCCAATTTGCTTAAGCTGTCTCTAATTTGATCTTCCTCTACAGTGTTTCACTTCCCCAGACTCTGTTGCTAGGCTCAAGAACCTCCCTGCTCAGGGAGGCATAAAAGCAGACCTCACCACTGCACATCTCACATATCTTACATCACTACTATGGGCCTGGAACGCCACAATTGCCAAAGCTTTTGAAACATGCTAAGGTTCCCTGGAATTGCTTGGGAAAGATAAAGTTGTCCTAAACAAGAAGAAATGCATAGACTAAAGGGCCATTTACATAGTTAATATATAGCACTAACCTAGAGATCATTGTAGTAGAGCATGCTAGAAAATGTCCGATTACATATACATCTACTATTTGCACTCCAAATGACTTCTCCACTGTCACTGTTTGCTTCTGTTTCTGAATATCTATCTAGACATTTACAGCCTGGAATAAAACACCTAGAATAAAAATAGTCTTACCTTGTACTTCTGGATAGAGAGACATGTAGAGCAAGCACCACAGTAGTGTGTTGGAAGTGGTGTCTGTGCCTGCAATGAAGAGGTCACCAATGATAAAAAATAAGTAGTCTTCATTAAAACTGCTCTCCTTGTTGTTCTTTTCTTCTTCTGCATGGATGAAGTACATGTCTATGAAGTCCCTGGGATTTGCTGCATCCAGTGTATCCCTGTGCTGTGCAATTATTTTCTTTAGAAAAGCAGTAATATCTAATTCTGTTTTCCTAAGTTCCCAGAAAGGCCCAAAGGGAAGGTAGTAGAGCCAAGGGCAGATATTGACCAGGATCATATAGGTGTTCACGCTTAGCTCTAGTGCACGGGCCATGTTCTTCAGCATTGTCTTGAACTCAACGTCTTCGTAGTTAAAACGCCTGCCAAAGGCCATGGAACAGATAACATTGGACACCGCGTTGCGAATGATCGGAAAGGGATTAAATGAATCCTTTCCATGCTTCAGCATTTCCTCCTTTATAAACTTCAGCTCCTCAATGATTTTAGGCTCTAAGCTGTGTCTTCCTACTCCAAAATGACGCAGTGTTGAGAGAGAGAATTTCCTCTGTTGCTTCCAGACAGGGCCGTAAGGTGCAAAAATAACACCTGGAAGAGAAAGGAAGAGTCTGAAACCAAAATGCTCTATTTTCAAGAAGAAATAGAAAGGTCTGCAACCCAATAGCCAGAAGACAGGGAAACAATAAATGGAAGAACACAAGGTTCTTTGTAATAGCTTTGGGAAATACTGTCCCTCCTTTCCCAATCAGTGAAATGAATATAACAGTTACATCAGTAGTTTTATTAGTCTTTGCAAGACACTAACAGATGGAGAAAAGGCACTGTAGGTGCTTTATTATAAATTATAACAATTTTGTAGGACCGTTACTCTGGGACATACGTTAGCTATAGCCTTTTCCCCTCAATGTCCTGAGACATTAATTTCCTCAGCAAGGCAGAACAGAAGATATTAAAACACAAACCGGTTTGCGTTTCTTTTCCTCTTCATGTTACACAAATTTCTCAATACTGCTTGCATGTGTACATATTTCTATTACAAGCAAGGTTTTCCTTTAACTTATCATCAAAATACAGGATAAGCATGCTGCAAACTGGGAAGGTGAAGACAGGTTCAGAGCCACTTGGCAAAAACCCACTTGATTTGCATCTCAACAGTTTTGATGCCTCTAGGCATGTGTTCTGCATGATGGTGTCATTATGAAACACCATTTAAATTAAATCCCTTAGCTTCAAGTATAAATATTGCTCACTTACAAACAGGAACATGTCTTCTGTTGCATTAGCAGACCACACCAAAGATAACATAAGCAAACAAAACAGCCTGACATAACACCATAATAAACTTCACAACCCGCTATTTCTAATGTGCTCCATGGTTAACCTGAGAAAGTTTGAAGTCATCAAAACACAGGCTAGTTCTGCTTTTGTTCTTCTAGCGAAGTGATACCACACCTGGTTTTTTTTCTGGAAATAAGAAGTTGCTTTATAAAAGCAACATGAATTCTTCTATCAATTGCAAATCTTAATGTTAAATTTAGAAGAAAGAGAAATGGCCATAAAAAAATAGCAACAGAAAGACGCACCATGTTTCTGTACTTAACATTATTTACATTTCTATTACAACTTAATGTCCATAGCCCCTACTGCAAAAAGGAGAGTAAATAAAGAAGAAATCCATAGTTAGAAACAGAAACCTGTAGATATGTAAATGAGGTAATTGTACTCAGAAGGGTCTGCAATCCCAAAGGTATAAATAGGTCAGTGCAACATAAAGCTGGTAATCTTTCTAGCCAGATGTTCTGATTACATTATCTACTCATAGTAGTAACAAGTAGACCGAAGAATACAAACACATGACCTAGTTTCAAAAGCCCTAAATGAAATAAGCAGAACATTATGAAGAGTCAAAACAAGCTGAGAATCAGCTGAACTTCATCTGCTCTGCATGAAGACATTCCTTAGGAAGTCTATTCAAATGTCTGCTCCCTGGCACTGCAAAAACAGAACCAAAACCGTTTCAGATTCCCTTTCTCAAGTGATGTTTCCTGGTAGCACTGGTATCCTCAAGTAGGGTAGGTGAAAAAAACAGGCTTATTTGGGGCTGAATTTGGCCAAGAACCAACTTGGGTTTTCAGGGTTTGTGGCTGGGGTGGGGAAGAAAAGTGGATTTCTTGGAAAAAAACAATGTTACTATTTTGTATTCCATAACCAATGTATCCAAAACAGACTATACATCTGCAATCTCTTCCCCTTTCTGTCTTTAGGAAAATTAGTTTTAGGATCCAAATACCTTCATAAAAGAGACGAGACCTATTGTCTTGAATGTAAAGAAGACTCTCCTAGCCACACAGGAAGGCCAACACCACCACCAACCCCCCCCCGCGGCTCAGAGAGTCTCTCCAGCAGTCCTGCACAGGGCATGGCTGCGCGGCATGGTGTCTTTGGAAGTCCCGAAACCCCGAACTGCTGCAGAATACTAATAATTGATTTACATATTGGGAAAGAATAACATAGGAGACAGATTAAGAAAGAAGAAGTGCATCAAGTTAGAATAACAGAGATAAGAGAAGAAAGAAAACTGCCAACTGGATCCCTGCCAGGCAATAATGATTGAACAGGACATCACTGTTTTCAAAGAGTATCCTTGCATGACCTGAAAGTCAAGGTACCCAGCACAGACAACTGTATTCTTAAAAAAAAAAAAAAAAACCAACAAAACAAGCAGCACCAAAACAAACAAACTAAACCCAAAACAAAACAAAAAACCCTGAAGAACTGGTAATGAAGACCTTACAATACAACCAACAAAGCAACCAACACGCAGAAAAGCAGAAACTTTGTTTTATTCTCCCTTTTCACATGAAAAATTCAAATCCTTATGAGAAGCAAGTTCTGGCAAAGTCTAAATCCCCCCCAAATTTCCCACTGCTAACTTTAGTCTTTCTACACTACTGGGAACATTGACAAACACAGAATTCATGACGTTTAATAACATTTATCTTCTGTATTCTCCGATGCCCACATCTGGATGCGTACAGGGCAGGACTATAAAGCTCCATCCACTCTAGAGATTGAGTCTTTGCTACCTGTCATAGCTACAGAATACAAAAATGCTTTATTAAAACAAAAATACCAAACCCTACTTTTCCTCCCCAGTCTAGTATTTCTCTTTCCGCAGGCATATGTGCAGAAGCCTTTGATTAAGAATTGACCTCTACCTTCTCCCTCAAGTTCTTACTGCACTTCTACGCAGCCAAGAAGGCCTCCCTTCTCTGCTACTCAGTTGTTGAAATGCAGTATTTGCCATTTCTGATACTTCTGCTTGCTCTCCCCTGGGCACAATATTTTACTTCCATCTTACGAGCAATAGAGCCACACACAGCCGAGATAAGCCCTTCTTTATTCAGCTCAGGGTAAAGACAAAACTACAACAGAAAATGTAGCTTAAAAGAAAATAGCCCCCTAAGTTTAGACCAGGTTGTTTACAGAAGAAACAGGTAGGAATCCGAAATGGACACTGACTCAAAACATCCCAGGGTTGCAGCACCCAAGTCATGAGTGGCAGGTCTGAAGTTACACAATCTTCCCACTTCTATCGATTCCTTTCCTACTACATAGGAGCACAACTGTCACTGCCCTGATCCACAGCAAAGTCTCACCCATGAACTCCTGAAACTAAGCATGGGAGACTCCCAACCAAACTTAAGAGGCCTTCAGTTTGAGTGTTGTAACACATTCACCTCCTCCACGAACCACACACAAAAGGAAACACTTTGTTGGCCCACAGCTCTTATGGACAGTATCTGAAAGCTGAGGTTAGAGATTGAGAGAGATCGTCCCTATTAAAAAAAACAAACAACCACAAAGCTTTCAGAAAACACATACCGTTCACCTCTTACCCAACCACTTCTGCAGCAACTGCCTTCCCAGTAGTATACATGCAGCATCGCAGACATTTGGTCATCTCCTACTGCCACCACTAAACCCGAGCCGGCCCACTGACAGCAGCTGTGACTTCCAGTGCCTTTTGGAGAACCTCCTTGCGCAGGGCCCAGGCGGGTCCACGCTGCCGGTGTTCACTGACTTTTCCCTTTGCGTACTCAAAATACACTACCCCTGTGGTTCTTTCTACAGTACTCTCACATCTGTGGCAATTCAACTCGGTGTGCCAGCTAACATAAGCAATACATGAGAGCTTGGTACATTTTGCAGACAACTGGGCAAGCCTCACATAAGAGTCGTTGTACCTGTGGTGACCTTCCAGAGAAAACTAAGCGTAAAGCAATATTAATGTCCCTACCACACAGCAACGCAGGCAGGCATGGTCCCTGCATTTGGCTGCAGCACGCTCTGGACAACAGGCTCATGATACTTAAAGACTCCCCTGGAGCATCCAACCATAGAAGCTGCTAACTTGGTTATCAGAGATTTTATTCAGGCTTTTACACAAATTCTTCGTAAATAGCGTGCATCTGGCTACTCTTCTGTTACCGTGTTCAAAAAAGTCTAACAGAGAACTGTCTGCAAAAAACAAGAAACATATAAAATTCACAGCGTTGAAGGAAAAAGAAATCCACTACAAGCCTGAACATGCAGCACTGCTAAAATTGATCTAATGTCTAACTGCTCTTCCCCTTTCCTGCTCCAGTCCTTGCTAAATGTAACATACCTAAAAATATGCAGGCACTATTAACAACAGCTACATGCTAGTAAGATCTGTCTCAGACCAACATCATTAATCATTTATTTTCTTATCTTTTAAACCAATTTCAGCAATGGTGCCTGATTGCTTTTTAATAAACACAATCTAGATCCCTCGCTTTCCTCTTATCTTTACTGGGGTAATTCTAGTATAGTAAACAATTGAAGATAAGAAGTTTCAGGAGCTTTACTAATAGGACTTCCCTGAGAGAAAAAACCAAACCAAACCAAACCAACCAAACAAAAGACATAAACAAAGTTTCACAATACAGTCAGCACATTAACAAGCCTCCTAAACTGAAAAAGGAAAAGTGGTTTTCCACAAACACTGAGATCTGTCCTGGAGCTAAAGACTAAACATGAAGAAATTCTGTGATACTGCCATCAAGAGTTTAAACTCCCCACGCCCCTTTTTTTGCCAAAGCTAGTAAACGCTCCTTTGACCTATTAAAAAAACAAAACAAAACAAAACCAAATACGCTCAGTAAGTTTTGGCAAGC